TCTAAGTAATTTGTACTCTGAGTCTAAATAAGAAAAATCTAAATATGACTTTGGTTTGATATACTTTACGCTACTAAACTGCTGAATATGTTTATACACTTATAATGTCTATTTGTTGATATATCAATGAATATATACGTGGTTTAAGGAATAAAAGTGTCAATGTTCTCTTGCAATATAACAATATAGTACAGAGGTTGAGTACGTTATACTAAAACGAATTTGATTTTGGAGCCTCACCACGTTGTTACAGTCCATGTCCCTAGATTGGTCATACTTTATCTGACAACCATGCATCTTTGCAGACTACAGTAGCCCTGCAGCGTAGTTTTCATTGTTCCGTCGTAATTATTTCATGTTCAAATCACAACCCTCCTTCTCGCTGCTATCCATAAACTATCTTCTGCACGAATACGACAGTTTTCGAAATCCATACAAAAATAACACCAAGGTAGCATGCGTAGATGGAGGAAAATTTGAAAATATGCCTTAACAGGTCAACAATTTGAATCTGGCCATATGATACTTTAGGTCAAAATACATGTCCTACGTCAAATCAAAAATGGAAAAGAAAGCCTGACTATTTAGAAGCTATTGAAATTATCAAAGCAGGTCATTTATTACTAAACCGTAAAATTGGTCGTAGTAACATTAGCTAACTTTGACTAGCCCTGACGATATCTTTATATTATATACCTCGTTTGTAAATTTCAACGCTTTTGATTTGATTGATATATAAACCTTGTTTACTGATTATGTATTCTCACGCGTCAACTATCTTTGTATATAAACCTTGTTTGCTTAGTTTAGTGTCATACCCGAAGAAGACAGAGGTACTATAAAAACATGTAGTATGTTCTCTACGATAAACATAATTTTGCTTGCAAATTGCTATTTGTTAATTTACTGCCAACATGGTCTCGATTTAACTCCCAGGCTTCAAATTCCTAAGTAAATCAACAGTTGACGGCAACATCTGGGCGACAAGTCACAATGAAAATGATCAGAAATAGGTTAGTTTGGATATCAGAGGATCAATACTTTATATTTCTCCAACCAGTCAGCACACAAAAAAAAATCCCGTCAACATGTAGATTGATAAAATGAAAGGAAGGCAAATATTTTCTTCACAGACAAACCACACTTCATACTGCAGCCAGATATGAGACGTGTGTGCATTTGGATAGTGGCTAAGATCAAATGTAACCCAAATTTCACATGGATGTTATATTTAGGGATGAAGTCTTACAATAATTAGTGTTCCCATATGCAAATATATTTTTACTGGGTAATAACGTGAGTGCTTAGTATCTTCCCTGAAGAGGATGATATCTAGTGTATGCATTGACCAACATGCTCACCGTATTTGACTTCAATTGATCATTTGTAGGATACCAGCAGAAATGCTGTCCTATTTGCTGCTGCTCGGTCAAGATCTTGGTTAGCTGAACGGTGTGCTTCTCTGTCACGAAATTGATCCTGACTTCTTCTAATTGCATTTTGGCAAGCAATTTGATGTGCTTCTGTACATCGGATTTGTTTCTGGCTTCTTCTTCTCATCTTGCCTCATAACTTGATGAGCAAGCCTATCTCTTTCTTTCTCTAACTTGCATCCTGACGTTTCATTTTCTTTCTCAAAGTTTCAGACTTTCTCTGTGATAAGTCAGTCTTCCGTTTGGCAATTTTTGTCATCGTGATTTTCAACGTTTTCGATCACTTTATACTCATATTCAAGTAATTAAATACTTGTATAAATTACGAAGATTGAGTTACTACAAAATGCCTGCAAATTTGTGTGCAACAATTCCGTACGAAGGACATGCGATTCATAGAACAATTTAATTCATAGCGTACGGTTGGATTCTCCAGCAGAAAATGTGACTTTTTTCTGAAATATCACAATGATTCTTCACTAGGAAGACTCTCTTTGAAATTCTGCATTAAACTCACTTTATCACAATTTTAGAAGTTTAAAAAAAATTAATTTTGTTGATAATAATAAATGCACAAAATTAATGTACATTATTAAAAAAAAGAAAGAATTGTTTGTTTGTTTGTTTTTGAATTTCGCGCAAAGATACACGAGGGCTATCTGCGCTAGCCGTCCCTAATTTAGCAGTGTAAGACTAGAGAGAAGGCAGCTAGTGTTCATACTTAAAATTACATATTGTAGTTATAACGTTCCATCAATTTCCTATTAATCAGCCATGTGGATGATTTTACTGCTGAACTTATCGGAATGAGGACATCAAAAGGTCGCCCTTCAATCAAGTTCCTTAAAAACTTTTCCTGAAATGTACCTCATCTGTAATATATTTGAAAAAAACGTCCATGCAGTAGCAACGCAAGATACTACGGTAACACTGACTTGCCAGAGGTAGCTACTCTGAGTCCCGTCAACAAAGTAAGATTTAGAAAAAGAGCCTTATCAAATACTCTCCTTACTTAGCCAGCAAAGATAAAAAACTGTTGTCTCCGAATACATAACATAACTCACAATTGTGGAAATTTAAGGTGTGTTATATTTATGGGAAAAATAAATTTATACCATCTTTCGTATCTTTCACACGGCAAGTTCGTAATATAAGAAGTGTTACTTTCTTTGGATGAAACATGAGAACTTGCATACTGATCCTTTCAGAAACTTACCATATTCATCTTAACATATAATTAAATATAGATATTACTCATAAAATGGACCTTAGTATATAATTAAATACAGATATTACTCATAAAATGGATCTTAGTATATAATTAAATGTACAGATATTACTCACAACACAGGTCTTAGCATATAATTAAATATACAGATATTATTCACAACAAGAGTCTTAGCCTATAATTAAATACACAGATGTTACTCACAACACGGGTCTTAGAATATAAATAAATATATAGACATTACTCACAGTACGGGTTTTGAAATAAAATTAAATATACAGATATTACTCATGGCACGGATTTTAGCATATAATTAAATACACAGATATTACTCACAACACGGGTCTTGAAATAAAATTGAATATACAGATATTACTCATGGCACGGATTTTAGCATATAAGTAAATACATAAGTATTATTCACAACACGGGTCGTAGCATATAATTAAATATACAGATATTACTCACAACATAGGCCTTCACATATACTTAGATATTACGTACTGTGGCTTTTAAGAATTGAATATGCAGAATGTGTTAAAATAGTTGAATACACAGACATAGCTTACTATGCGTGGTAGAGTATAAATATATACGTAACCATGACTTACTGCTGTGTATAACATAATTACATAAATAGGCATGACTTACGCCGGTCATAACTAATCTGAATCATTGCATATAATTATATGTATTGTCAAAATATTTTAAAAAATACACATAACTTTTGTGAACGAATATTTGTTTTATTCTGAATGTTCCGCACAAAAATTCTCCCACTGTTTCTGGTGTATGCATGATCTCTGAGTTTGTAAAGTTTAATACATATATAAATATATATATAAGGAGGAGTGTTTATCTTATATCAGGTTACGTTGTATTAAAAATACAGAAAAATGTGATTATTTCTTCAACAGCAACATTATAGTTTTGAAATATCACCTAATAAGTAGAATCTTCAAAATGCAATGAAGATGAATGTTACTGCTTTATTCGAAAATGAACAAGGTAGAGGTTATCCTTTTCTTATTACCTTATGTTATGAAAAACTGTTTTCTCTAAAATTGTGCATTCTACAAATAATGGCATAAAAACAACTAGAAAAGTGTAAGACAATTCACAACACATAGATGTTTTACTTTATGTCCATGGATGGAAGATATCTCTTAACATTTTTAAAAAATTCGCTTAAAATTTGTATTTTTGATTTTATTTTACAGTTCGATTGCTTAACATTATTTGTTGTAGCTAGTCCATTGCTTAAGTTCATTACTTAAGCTCATATAATATCATGTGATCCTAGCCAAGATTTTGCTACAACTCAAACTGTCCACCAAATAAATTGGTCTATTGACTTTGGACCCAAAATGTCTGACGAAAGTAAATATCTAAAAAGTTAATTTTCATTTATACTGTGATTGTATTTCTACATAAATAGCTACTAAAGCGATTAACTAAAACAAAAAAACAATTTTTCTATATCAAATATGCAAATAAGGATGTTTACTGAATTGATAAACTAGTATAAAATAAAGATTTCAAATAAAAACTTCCGACATTAAATGTAAACTTACTTAGCAAATATAACAGACATATGAAATCTTGGGCTAACAAACCAGTCACAAGAATCATCATGATCTGTTTTCAAAAAACGATATAGTGAAAGTCAAAAACGAAACTGTTGGGTTTGCCAGAAATAGTCAAATAAGAAACTGTGATATAAGTGGCATCTTAACCAAACGAAAAAAAGTTAATATTCTTAGGATGTAGAATAAAAGTAAGATCTGTATGTATGACAAGTGCCTGATTTACATCTTCTTTAAAAGAGAAGAGATGTAAATACATAAACTATCATAAGAGAACATAGAAAAGCAAAACGTTGAGAACCCACTAAAAACAACAGAAACAAAAACTTGACTTACCATAACAGATTTTAGAAGTCGAACGCTGACTTACCTTAAGAGAAAACAGAAGTCAAAACTTAATCTACGATAAGAGAATATAGAGCTCAAACCTTAAGATTTTTTCAACTTAACTAAGTTTATTCGGCTTGCTTATTTTCATATTTTTTCATAAATGTATAAGGGAAAACTAATTATATCAGACTTACCATGAGAGAACGATGCAGTGGCAAGATTTTAATCCACCATAAGAGAACACTGAAATAACTTGATTTCAATCTACCATGGCTGAATCTTGATGTGGTATGATTTTAATCTAATTATCCCATTAGTGCTTCTTTGTCTTACGAGATATATTTCAGGATTTCTGCTATTGCCGAATAAAACATAAACTGTTTCAATTCAATTCAAAAAGGTGTTGGTTTGGTTTTCACTTACCAGAGGCATGCAGTCCTGGATGTAAGGAGACACGTTACAAGAAGCGATCTTTCCACGAGCCACCATCAGCTGTTAGACAGACAGTGTGTTCTGTGGGGAAGAATGGTATAATTACTAGGCTGTTACTTATTGTAACAAAACGTAACTTCAATGAAATGTTTAAACTTTTACTGTAACCAAAATGTACACCTGTTGATGTCGTAACAGCTTAAAGAAGCGTATATGTAATTGAATATAACGGTTATTTTAATTGATATATATTAATGTATGAACTTTAGTTCCATGTTTACTTTTTTAAAGTCTTCAAATCTCTTATTATACTTCTATGATATTGGATTTTTTTGTACTTTTGCTTTGTCTGGTATACAATTTAATATTTTTACGAAGCTACGAAAACAGAGTTTTAGAAGGATTAAGAATCGTGACTTTATTTAACTAGAAGCTATTTTAACTTTTACTGTAGCTAATCACGGATTGAAATCCCGCTAGATCTCGTTTTCATATGAAAAAATTTGTGACGTTACACAACGTCACGATTCACATGTCTACAATATAGCTGCAGTTTTAAATGGCTTATAACATGGCGTTTATCTGAAAAAAGAAAAAAATACATACAAATTATATTTTTTCAATAAACTCGATATTATTTGAAATCATAGTTATTCAAGTGATGTCTAGCTATCTCAGCACCTACATATATTCACAGTGAATAATATAATACCTTGATCAATTCGGTATTGAGACAAATAAGGATATCAGAAATGTTTCAGTGTTATCATTACTGAAACATTTCATTTAGTTAAATTATTTTAGATAACACTAAGTTTTTATTGAATAAGTAAACATTCTGATGCACATTTTCACTTAGATAATAGCATACAATTTGTAACGACCACAAGATTATTGAACATTTTAAAAACAAGAAAACAAAATTATATCATGCAAATAAACTGGTTATTGTTACAATAGGCGTTGTTCCGCAACTCGTTAAGACTACCAAGTTTATCCTTCTGTATATTATTCTAAATATTTTTGACTCCAGTAATGTTTTATTTATGAATGGCGAGATTCGTCAAAATTCATGATGTTTGTTGATCGTAGGCAGTAAACAACTCTGCCAAATGGTTTACTTTTGAACTAAAAAAAAATGAATAGTTGGTGGAAAAACATTCAGGTATCACAAAAGACGTTAGCAAAGAATATATTGAGACGCAAAATAATCGTAACATTTCAATTCTTTTATATTTACGAACAAGATGGAAGCTTTGAAACAAAATACATCATCTTAAAACTCTACAGCCTTTCTACTAGTCAAAATATTAGTATCTTAACTACCATTCCTAAATAATCAGATGCTTCTTCAAGTACACGATTATAAGATGGTGTTTGTTTATTGTATTATGTAATAGGTTAAATAATTGCTTTCACTTACGTTAATTAAACAACAGTGTTAAGAGAAGTTTGAGTACAAAAGTGGCACGATAAGTGTAGCATAACGTTATATGATCAAATCTGGAAGCATGGATCAGGAAAGATTTGACGAATTGGAATTTTCAAGCGCATGTGGACTAAACGGACAGGTCAGAGGCCTCAGGTATAGTAATCCGAAATTTGGAACGACTAACCAGCCGAAAGACAATTAGCCAGCAGCATCCATCATCACGAGAGTTTTGCTTGTCTCTTTGGATCCAAAAACGCGACTGACTATCACTTTTAGAAAGCGCCAACAGTTGAAACTGCAAAGCGTGATCAGCAACATACTACGAATCAAGAACCCTCGATACACAGCCCGATACGCATTATTTTTATCTAAAAATATATTATTGATGGTTTCTACAGAGTGAAAGACTAACTGTGCGATGGTCAACTTTCATTACTTCTACAATATATCATGGATTTTAATGTTAATTAATCAATTCAACTTATGAACTATTAAATTATCATTACTGGTTTTTTTGTTACTAACAATTTACTACGCAGTCTGAATTGTTAGTACATTAGTTTAAAAATTAATGTATATTTACATATTTTAAAATTAATAGTCTGTCTGATATATTCCTGGATTTAGTCAGAAATTACCATAAAAATATTTCAGTTCCATAAAGTTGTTATACTGGTTTCTAGGATGTCCAGTTTTTGTCTTTGTTAATGTAAACTTCTGGAGATCTCAAGCTTTCACCTTGAATTTCTTACAACGAGAACTAAAGTAAGTCACGATCCGGTAAAGTATTGACATATTATTGATGGTTGGACATTTATTATAGTGAGCAGGACAGAGGACTGCGACTCGTTCTCTAAGTTTGACATTGATGGCCAGCTGTGTTTCCTTTACATTGCACCCTTTTTTCTTTATTTATTTATTTTGTGGTCCTGGGAAGTGAATATTGAACAAAAAATATATTACAGCTCGCTGATCAACATAGAGGTTTAAAATTGACCATGAGTTTGGCTCTGCCTTTCATTGTTTAGATATATCTTGTGTTAATTTATTATTTTGAAAATTTATTTCTATTCATTTTTACAGTTGAAAATACTTTTCATAGTAGCCGCAATAAATAGATACCGAGTATATTTTTTAGACAGTATGCTGGTTGAAATTTAAACATTAAATAGTACAGTTCGAAACTGACTTAATCCTAGTTGTTTTTGGTGTTGACATGATAAACAAATTATACATGACAATAAAACTAGGCGAACTCTGTGAATAAAGATATTTTGCTGTCATTGTCATTTATTTGGCTTCTATTCACACCACTAACTTCCGTAAATGAATGTATTCAGCCGCATAAAAATACTCTATCACCATAATTTGAATTAATTTTGATATCATTAACACACGTTAACCACTCTCTACACTACTTGTATCATACCTAACAGATCGCAGTGCTACTTGAGTGATGAGGTGTGAACAAGATCGTTGTGGTTAAATGTAAATCAGGCCGTTCTTATAAAATTAACAAATAAAATAGAAAACAGACTGTTACACTCAAGAAACACTGTTTGAGTGATGAGGTATAATATGTAAAAATCGATTATTGTGCTTCTTCTTTGTGCTACCTCATTGCATTGCACTGAAACATAACAATAAGTTAATTTAATCATAATGAACGAAACATTTACACATGTGCAATGTGAAACAAAACATTCCAATGAAAACTTTACGAAATGAAATGAAACTGTCTCTGTATCCTAATAATATACACATGCGATGTGAAGTGAACGGATTTTTCTTCCACTTTTATAAAGAAGCGTCACATAATAATATTCATGGGTTGTGCAATGAGACAAACATATACATTACCTTAATAATACAGAATGAACCGACTATATATGTCAGGTGTGCAAGGAGACAAACTTATATGTTATCTTAGTAATATAGAATGAAACTATTATATCTGTCAGATGTGCAAGGAGACAAAATGACATTTTAATACCTCTGTATAAAAGGTTTATCTATGAGCAATACTCAACACAACAGAGAATATCGTTAACAGCAAGGATACCAAACTGATAGATTGATGTATTCTAATCAATGTGAGTTGTTGTTTCATGACTTGTATACTTGTAGTAATATCAAATTAGCTATACTGGTCATTGTAAATATCTTGTTTTCATCAAAGTTTTTGATATATATATATATATATATTACATTCATAAAGACAAACATATGTTATTCAAAAATCTCAAGATTAAATATATACTAAATAGAAATACTATTTATTTCTTGCACATATCAGATAAAGTAACCACTATTCATGTAGTCTAGTCTAAAGTATTAGTTCTTTTTGATATTTTTCACTTACACACTCATCAGAAACCTATTATAATGATAGTAGGACCTGAAAGTAAGGCCACTTTAATCCTTAAACAAAGTGCCAAACATGTTTTCCACCTTTAATTCTTACTATTTTCCCCTTGTGTTTCATACGTAATGTGGGAAAACCCAAAACTATCATGTCATGTGATTACTAAATAATTTACACACGTTTATATCCTTGTCATAGTAAAATTTCCGAACTCCTTTGGTGAAAAGAAATAAAAGCAAGTAATTCACCAGAAGTCATGCTACATTCAACTAAATTATATTGATTCCATTCTCAATGACCACTGGTCTACGAATCGTAATGTAATATTTTGTCAAATAAAAAACCTTAGGGCTTATTCGTATCTGACACACTTTCAGATAAAAAATAAATAAACAATACTGACAGGACGAATGGAACAAGGGTATTGCTTAATTCGTTGCCGACCGCGACACTGGTAATGACTCTGAGCAGGTGGTTGGTGGATTTTTACGGAACTCAAGGAAAACTAGATAACGTAATAGTTATAGTGCTTTCAAACGCAAAGCAGGTTTAAAACACGTATCTTAAAGGCATGTATAACCCTGAGAATTCACTAACTAAAACAAAACTATGAAATAACAGAGAGATTAGGTCGTATGCAGATAAGGTTTTTGTTGTTTCCGCTTCACTCGTTCATGCAATGTAATGCAATCTTTGCGTTACACATGTTTTTATCAGAAACGTGTTATTATATAAGGGAAACTAACTATTGTGTCATAGTATTAGTAAGTATCTAATCAGTACAAAATGTGAATGAATTAGAAAGAACTTAAAGAAGCATATAATGTCCTTGAAAAATTCATCCTTATAGAACTGGTGTTTGGTAATTAAAAGTTTTACACATAATAAGCTACCCATTGTTCTATAGCTCTTTTATCTTGAATAAGTTTGAATATAACTGGTTGCATATGAAGCATTTTTATATCCTTTACGATTTTTTTTTCCATTTTACTTTGTAATATTTTTATGTAAAATAGATATTCTAAAGGTTTCGCTTTTCTTCATCCTCTGTGACTTAAATATCCAAGTAAGAGAATATCCAGTTTCTTAATATCACTAAATCATTACGAAATTCTGTCTATCTAAATATATATCTATCATTTTTTCTACGGTTAAATAATATAGAAATATTGTTTTTCCGTTCCTATTGAAAATTATAAAACCCTCATTTTTTCGTCTTATAAATAATATGAAACGTTAAAAGAGTTTTCTCAATTAGTAACAACTTATGGAATCTCGTGTTTT